TTTTTTTTTTTATAAATTGCTTGCGCAAAATAGCAGTAAAATTTCGCTGTTTTTCCAGCAATGGCAATGTATTATTTTACAGTTGATGACTGTACAGAGAGAACAAAAGGAAACACGATTATTAATAAAAGGTCTTGGACTAACCCAGGGAGCATTTGCAATTAGCCAGTATGGGCACCTGAACCACTAAAGCTAACATCTGTTTGTTGGAGCTATTGAACCTTTACCTCTGGCTGTCTTAATGCGAGCAGAATATTAATTAAAAAAAAACCCCTCCTACTGTGTTCAGTTTAAATTGATGATGAAAATATTCGAACCAAAGAGATTTTAAAAGCCTTTACTTTTGTCTGTTATCTTGGCCTTGCCGCAGCGGCCTGTTCCCTGTGTTTTTATTCAGTTTTCATAGCTGTGTTTTTCATATGTCAGGCCAACCTTTTTGTCTTAACTCTTAAGTAATTGAAATTCATAGAGTAGTTGGTTTTGGTGTCGGTGTATTCTGTAACGATAAGGCTCTATTCTACATTTATGTGTATGTTGCCGTTGTGTTCATAGGGTAGATATGTGATTTTTAGCCTGATTCGCGCACGGAGCTCTGTCCTGGTGTCTTGTACTGACCTGTTCGAATACTCTTCCTTTGTTTTCGGCATTTTGACTTGATCTGTTATGGCCAGATGGAGGAGAGGAAGAAGAACAACACTCGAAATACTGATGACAATTTTTGGTTTGCAAATGATTTTATTTTGTTGGTTATTAAATTTGACTGAGTGTTTTAGTGCGCAGGTGCTGGTTTTTCACATGTTTTGGAATTTCGCTATAAAACTATTTATACTCTTGTTACCTATGTAGGTTGGTATCTCTTTTTATAATCTCACTTTATTAGTCGGTGTTTTTTTTAGTTTTTCCCATTTGATTGTTCATATGGCGCGTACTTGTCAGCCAGTGCAGGTATGAGTGCGATTTTAGTTCATTGCTGCATTTAATGATTTGGTTTCAATACGGCGCATGCTCAGTAAGAGGACTTCTGGTGTGATGTTGTGATATAGAGTTAACTACTCTCGTTTACACTGGCTCTAGAATTGAGAAGAGATGAAGTTGAATAGAAGATAGTTGAAGGTTCTGGAATTGAGAGAAAGACGTGCGATAGAAGATATAAACGAACTGATTGGTTGTGGTTCGTGTGATGGTCTAGCTTAGTGTACGTTTGGCTTTTGCAAGTGGTGTCAGCCAAAGATGGCAATTTTTCGGAATGTGACTGGGCGTTTGTGCTGGTGCCGAAATAAGATAGTGAGGGAATATAACGGTGAAATGTTAGTGTTCATTTTTTTTTTTTTTTTTATAAATTGCTTGCCAAAATACAGTAAAATTTCCTTTTTTCCAGCAAATGGCAATGTATTATTTTACAGTTGATGACTGTACAGAGAGAACAAAAGGGAAACACGATTATAATAAAAGGTCTTAGGACTAACCCAGGACATTGCAATTACCCAGTATGCACCTGAACCACTAAACTAACATCTGTTGTTGGAGCAATTGAACCTTTACTCTGCTGTCTTAATGGACAGAATATTAAAAAAAAAACACTCCTACTGTGTTCAGTTTAAATTGATTGATGAAAATACGAACCAATTATATTCATTGAGTCATATGGTATCACTCGACTCTGTAATCTTTATCTTAACATTTTAAAGGTACTTTTATGGACAAAAATGCAGAGTATTTCACGTTTCCTACAGTCAGCACTGTGTTTTACTGCTTTTCTTCATTTAGACACAAATGTCCAACCTTATCAGCATCTTCTGGGTTATTCACTATTACCGGTGTAGACAGATAAGGGATTTATGATACAATGTTAAGTGGATGTATTCATTTATAGGGTATGACACCGGGCAGGATGACAAGATAAGCAGTTATGGAATTATGATAAATGAACTAATAAAAGTCTGTCTGTGTGTGTGCGTTAATAGGTGTGTGTGTGTGTGTGTATGTGACTGCTTTCACAATTTTGTCTCATTTCTGTTTCTGTATCATGTGGGAGGTTTCACATGTAACATTTTTCTTTCTCTTTCAGTCTTTCAAATGAAGTGAGTCAGTTTTTGGGATAATTTGTTAAGCGAGGAATTCCAAGAAAAAATAAGTTAGATAAAAAAGAACACCACAGAGTTCAAAGGAGACTCCCAAGACGCTATTTTTAGGGGGATTTATTTTACATGTTTTGTAAAGCCAGATAAGAAGAGCAGATGCAGGATGTGTGTTAGAGCTTGGTCAGTTGACTAAGGTTCAGATTGTGTGTTTGTATTTGTGTCATTTTGTTCAATAAAGAAAATCTGAAACCTGCAGACTTGTGAATGTATCGTATTTTCGGAGTTTTGTCTGAGAAACCTGCACATCAGAAGTAAAAGCATTTTATTTTCAATGGGAGTTATCTTTTCAATCATCTATTGATTAGTCCTTCATTCTGGCTGTTTGTCCCTGGCTGAGGTGAATGTGAATTCATGTGCGTCGGTCTCCTCTCCTTCTTTTAGTAGATCAGTTTGTGTGCCACACTGAGGCCATTGCAGACATCGTGATCCTGGTGGACGGCTCCTGGAGTATTGGTCGGCTTAACTTCCGGCTGGTCCGCATGTTCTTGGAAAACCTGGTCAATGCCTTTGATGTTGGCATCGATAAGACAAGGATAGGTGGGTCCCTGCTACTTCCCATCTTGAACAGATGGTGCACCATGGGACCAATATGGTCTATTGATGTTTGTTTAAATGTTTTAATTTCTTTAATACAGATATTTTACTCATTGTGTCAGAATATAGTGCTGTTTATGTATGGCTATTGTGTCTAAGTTAGCATATAATACAAGCAAATGACAAGTTGTGTTTATGTATATGTGTTTGTAGGTCTGGCTCAGTACAGTGGTGATCCCAGGATAGAGTGGCATCTAAATGCTTTCTACACCAAAGATGCCGTCATTGATGCCGTCAAGAATCTGCCATACAAAGGAGGAAATACTCTCACAGGTGCTGGATTTCACATATACTATCTTTTTTATGTTAACCTGTACTGGATACTAGTTTAACTTGTTAAGAATTTGTAAATAGAAAACTTTTCTTCTTTCCTTTTCTCCTTTTTGACTTTGTCTTTGTCTTACAATCTTGTACAAGCAAACACTACTTTGCCATTCTTCTCCTGCTCCTGTTCTTTTACACTTACTTATCTCTCTTGATTTGTTTTTAAAATCCTTGTCTCCTTTTCCACCTTGCTCCCCCTCTTTGTGTCTTCCTCCTCCTCCTGTGTCTCCCTATTTGTCTGTCCAGGCCTTGCGTTGACTTTTATCCTGGAGAACTGTTTCAAGCCTGAATCTGGCTCACGGGTCGGTGTACCCAAGATTGGGATCCTCATCACAGACGGGAAGTCGCAGGATGATGTCATACCACCTGCAGAGAGCCTGCGAAATGCTGGCGTTGAGCTGTTTGCTATTGGTGAGAATGTACAAACATAAACACACTCATGAAGAGCATTTGGCTGGTGGCTGGTGCTAATTTCCCACCCTGATCTGTGCCACAATGAGTTAAAAAAAACACTTGTACTTTGAACTAAACCTCCTCAATACTTTACTCCCCTACCGTGCTATCATATATTTATAAGGAGAATGCTTGTTAATCTCTACATGTAATGCTAACAATCATACATTTGCCCTTACCTTCCCAGGTGTGAAGAATGCCGATGAGAACGAGTTGCATTCCATCGCCTCAGAGCCGAGCGACACTCATGTGTACAATGTGGCCGACTTCAACATCATGAGCTCCATAGTGGAGGGACTGACTAGAACAGTGTGTGAACAAGTGGTGCAGCAAGACAAGGACATCAAGCAGAGTAAGGAGACAATGAGACAGAGGGACTGTGCAGCAGTTAAGCAAAGTATAAGTAGTCAAGTCAACAGTGATTACTTTGGCTTTTCCTAATGTTTCCTTAAATGACTGGTGTGAATAAACCCCTTTATATTTAGATAAAGCTTCAGTGGCTAGAGATGGTCGTATTTAATGCCAATTCTCTATTGGGAGGGCGGTTTCATGCAGCAGCAAAATAAAAATGGTATCCTGCTATAAAAAAAGTGATTATTTCAGGACACATTGTCTTCTTTCATTATGCTGATTTTTCCTCTAACAAGTTTCCATCTCTGTGGATATAAAGATGCAGGATGAAAAAACAAGAAAGGGGAAGTCTTTAAAAGGACACCATAAATCCAGTCTAATATGTTTTGATTATATTTCAACACTATCTCCTGTTACTCTGATCCTCAATGCGAGTAAGTTTTTCTACTTAAAAGTCCCTCACTGGTAGTGATTTATTTTAATCTGATGCAATCTCTTATCCTTTCCTTTTCGTATGCTTTTATTTCTTCAGAACAGACACCAGAGACGACGGGGGCACCACTTGACCTGGTGACATCAGAAGTAACGGCCCGAAGCTTTCGGATTTCATGGAGCCATGCCCCTGGATACGTACAGAAATATAGAGTGGTTTATTACCCTGCTCAGGGAGGAGAACCACAGGAGGTATATACTGTGTTTGCTAAGAGCACCATTACGTTTACTGTACTAAAAATGTGTCTTTAAGTTTAATTAGGAAAAGCTGAAGGATGTAAATATCCACCAAAAACAATTGTATCACTGTATGAAATTAACAAATACCCATATCATTCACACAGCTTACAAATCTAATGAAGTTCACTGTAACCTGAAACCTTTTCATGCATATGCATCGAAACAAAAGGAAGACTTAAAAAATACTAGATCAGGAATCTCAGAGAGGTGGGTCTAAGCCAGAGTAGACTCTGGTTTTCCATCATATTTACTACACCAATGGGAGTTACTGTATCTGAGGTCTTCTGGCAGGTATGGATTGAGCTCAGTTTTTCCCTGAGGCGCTGGTGGTATCATTCATCCATACCTCTCGCTCTCATCCCCTCCATTCACAAATCCCCTGAACATCCATGCAGGTAATGAAGGCTCGCTAGAAATGATACTCTGGCTGATCCAGGCACCTGCTTGATTTTTCCAGAACATTTGACCACAGAAACCATTAAATCTTTTGCTTAGCTGGGTTTACAGGGACCAGATGGTCTGGAGCCGCATGTGAGGAGACCTTTCCAGCTGGCTCAGCCCAGACCTAATCTGTATCACAACTGTCATCCATTCAGATCAGAATGAAAAAATATTATTTTGCTTTAGACGTTTGTGCTTTATCCCATTCAATAAATCGATTGTTTTTCCCTTGCTCTACCATTCTCTTTCAATCTCTCTTTCCTGCCCTGCCATCCTCTCTCATTCCTTTCTTCCATTTGTCATTTTCATCCTTCCCTATTTTATTGCCCCACTTTCCATTTTCACTGCCATTCTTTGTCCCCCTACCTCTCCCTCCTTTCCTTCTTCTCCCACCCATTTCCGCACCCCATTTCTTCTTTTCTCCCTGTGCCTTCCATCCATATTTCACCCTTCCCCCTTTCCTTCTCCTGGTCTCCAGGCGGTAGTGGACGGTAGTGAAACTTCAGTAGTGTTACAGCATCTCAGCTCTCTCACGGAGTACCAGCTGGCTGTGTTTGCTGTGTACGTTCAAGAGGCAAGTGAGGCTCTGAGAGGATCAGAAACAACCCGTAAGTTTATTCTTGCACACAAACACATGCAGAAATGTACTTACAAAACCTCACACCAATGCTTCAGTCAACATCTGAGATCACAAGTTAATAACAATGGCTTGAAAGTTTGACAGCTATGGAAACCAGACATATTGTAAATTATACACTCATAATACAGGAAGATGAAGTTCTTTTACACGTCCACTAAAGTTAACATCAATTAAATTCTATTAAATTGATTTATATGTTGCCAAAAATCCTGGCAAAACTGTGTGTTTTGAAACTCAAACCCCACAAAATCAACTCAAAAGACTAAATTTATTAGTATGAGTCCTCCTTAATTAAACTGTGCCGTATGTTTGTCTGTGTGTGGTCGTGTGTGTGTGTGTGTGTGTGTGTGTCTATGTAGTGGCCCTTCCCACAGTGACGGGCCTCCAGCTGTTTGATGTGACTCAGAGCACCATGAAAGCAAGATGGGACAGTGTGGATGGAGTCTCTGGCTACATGCTGCTGTATGCACCACTTTCAGTTGGTGGAGACTTGGATGAGAAGGAGGTATTGAAAGAAAGAAAAAGAAGAAATGAAAGATATATTGAACAGATGAATGCTTATTCAATTCATAGCTTTAAACAGTAACTGGCAGCTTAGAGTCCAAGGGCTTGTTTTAAATGCTTTATTTGTGCGTGTTTGTTTGTCTGCAGGTCAAGTTATCGGATGCAGTGACTGAGCTGGAGCTGGATGGTCTCATCCCTTACACTGAATACACCGTCACTGTTTATGCCATGTATGGAGAGGAAGCCGGAGACCCTATTACAAACCAGGAAACTACATGTGAGTAATGCACAAGCACACACACATACAGTGTACTTCTATCATTATGAGGGCCTTCATTCTGAATATTATTCTAATCTTAACTGTAAAAGCAAATTAATCCTCAAACAGTCCAAAAAAACTTTTAAAACTGGTTCTCACACAGCTAGAAGTGCAAGAGTTTACAAATACACACCAAACCAACATATTATCTCTCTCTCCCCCCCAGTACCACTGAGTGCTCCCAGCAATCTCCAGTTCTCTGACATCACTCACAACTCCGCCCACATCAGCTGGGACCCTGCGCCCAGAGGGGTTAAAGGTTACCGTATCATGTGGGTCAAGACAGACGGACTAGTCACTCAGGAGGTGTGTGTGACACACATGACATTGTGATTTTATGTCTTTAAGATGTATTTCTTCACTATCATTTTATTTGACAGCATTTTTAATCTTTGAGATCTGCATCAGTTTGAGTAGAGATGGGAAAAAGTGAAAAAAGAATATGGCAGGATAGAACAAAGGGGAGATTAATTGTAAGAATTGTTGTTCTTAGTATGAAAAGGTCAGACTAAAATGAATATTGAGCACTGACAGAAATCATCTTGAATAATAAACAGTTATTGCAATAGTGTGCATGTGCTTCAGCACAAGCTGTACAAACTCCTAAAACTTGCACATACAGTAAAAATTAGTGCTTGTGTCAGATGTGTTTACCAAACACTAGCAGCACATCCGTACACATTAATCCTGAAGTTTATTCTTTTGGAAAGCCTGGTCAACTTCCAATTACAGAGGCACTATTGTAAACAACGAGAACTAGAAGAAACTCTGTTAGTGGACGTTTTAGTGGGTTTGTCGCCCTTTTAGCTGACTGATTGAACTATTCTATGTTTGTATTGACATAACTGGGTTTTTGTGTGGATATGTCATGTGTCTTTGTGTGTTGTGCAGGTGGAGGTGGGAGATGTGAACTCTTATGACCTCAGTGATTTGACGTCTCTGATGGAGTACTCAGTGGCCATCTATGCTGTGTACGACGTGGGCCAATCAGAGCCGCTCACAGACGGATTCACTACCAGTAAGAAAAGCTTTTTGTCGCTTTTTGACTGTAAGGATACATTTGTTCTTTTGTTTTTTTATTATAGTTCAATTTGTCTTCCACAATGGTGTTATCACATTTACTATCGTCACCATCTCTACTGAAAACAATTCTGTCTCAATTTTCTTGAAAATAGTTGTATCAATACCATTAGAAGGCAAACCATTTCTCTCTTAGTGCCAAACGGTGTTGAATTTTATTACCCATACTGGTCCTTCTGCTATTTTGGCAGTCTGCCCATCTCATTTACACCTCAGCATAATAGCCCAGTCACATTAAAAGGTCATTTCACTGTCCCTTACTATTCTGTCACGCTAACAGATATTGATTTGTAGGAATATCCCTTTAAGCAACCAGCAGTTGGACTGCAGTGCTGAGTCAGCTAAAAGAAATGTATTTTTGGCAAGAAGCTATTAAACTACTCACTCTTAAGGGCCATGTTGATTTCTATTTATCTCCTGGCAAACTTTGTTCAATGGAGCAGGTTTAAGAAAGGGAGCTGGATTTGTTAGTTATTAGTTTGATGTGTTAGCACTTTTAAGGTTTTTTAGTGGAGAACTGTGAAATGGTGGGAACCTGCTTGATCAGACTTCACATCAAAATGCTGTGGTACAACAGAGTTACTGTAAGTTAGGATAATTGCTGAACAGTCAACTTAAGAACTGTTAACTTAAAAATAAATTGGCCCCTGCAGTCAGGTCTGTGATCGTGCCACTGAAGCTAGCTCATGGTTATGGGGCTTTTACCATACTACCTGTTGCATAGTGCACATTGGTATTTTAACTGTTTCATATTTTTCACTGTGAAACAATGACACAGTTTGATTCTTACTCTGGCTTGGTGCAACCAGAGTGTATTTTCAGTTTTTTTGCAGCTGCAGGTATTTGTGGAAACAAACATTCAGTGTTTTTACTAGCATTTAAAATATGTGTTGTTACACCACAGCAGTCATTTTTTCATGCACCATTTCCATGAAAATTACATCCTGCAGTTGCAGTGCCCGTCAAGCACCCACTGGTCAGTTCTTTGTCCATTGCCCAGTAGTGCAGGTCATATAGTGCTTATTGGGAAGCATACGGAGGAAAAACCAGTGCAGAATATTAGAATAAAATTAAGGGAAAATTGGAAGATTGTTAAAAAATGTGCAGCATGCAAATAACACTTAAGGGTAAAAGAAAAATGAAAGTGCAAATAAACTCTATCTCTACCTCTCAGCTCCAGTTCCTGGTCCTTTGAATCTGCGCTCCAATGATGTCAGCACTGACAGCTTCCAGGTCAGCTGGGATCACTCAGCCAATGACATCGTCCTCTACAGACTCACCTGGGCACCATTAACAGGTGGCGACACAAAGGAGGTCAGTACTAATAAAACACCGTATGTGGAGGTGTTTGTTTTTGGACATAGTTTTCTTGAAGATGTTTTCACCATCAAGACATGAAATGTGACAGTGAAGACAGATCATTGTCAACGCTTTAGGCATGAAACAAGAAATGTGATAAAATATTAAACTAGTTTATAATTGAGCATCAAAAGATAAATAACCTGCATGTATTGCTAATTTTTCCATTTAGCCAGGGGTCTACTTATTATCTCTATCTCCAGAGAAAGTGGCTGCACTCCATGTGCCCAGATAAAGGGGAGCCTGTACTCTATACACTGCATATAAGCTTAACTACACTACTGGTAGCTGGTAAAACCTCTGCCATAGCTAAGTATAAATAAATGCTAAATAAATCCAGAAATTAATGGCTTTGGTATTTTATTACCGTGATCTGGGGTTTAGAGACAGCTGGACGGCAGCGATAGAGCCCTTAGGTCCGTAAGAGTGTGTGTTTGTGTGTGTGCTCATGTTGTGTAAGCGTGTGTGTTTGTGTGTTTTTCTGAGAGTCATCAGAGCTGAAAATAACACTCTGGGGAGTTGGAGAGGTGGGCTGGTAATTCCGCCAGCATAGAGAAAGGGATACACGCAGCTTTTCTCTGTCTCTCACCCACATACTCTACACATGTCCACACAAACACACATTTACATCCTCCACCAACTGCTTTGTATTGTTATATCTGAGAGGAGATTAAACATAATACAATCAAACAGCCACACAGACACCGATACACAAACAGAGTAAAAGATTACAGATTAAAACTTAATGCTAAACTACAGATCCATGCGAAGAGTAAATTATATCGTTGTTGATCCTTTTGTTCCGTCATGCTGTTTTGAAAGCAAGTTTTGGGTCTTTCTGTGCTCTTTGTTAATCAATAAAATATCTGATTGACTCTACTCTTTAATCGGGCAAGTACCGCACAGGGCAATGCTATAAAATATAGAAATACGTCTGACTAAATGCAAGGAAATATACAAAGAACAGAGAGGGAATGAATCAATAAAGATAAACTTGCTCCAGTGAAAGCTCAAATGGCCGGCCCCACTGGTGAAATTTGCATGTAACTGTGCCTCAAAGAGCTCTGCAAGGTAACAAATTCCCGCACATAATATAGTTATTGAGTCATCTACAGTAAATTCCAATTTCAGTGTTGCTCTCCATGGAAGCAGGCTGTACTTTTGATGACCTCTTTGTATTTACCTTGGGGTCTGATTCCTTTCTGTGTCGTACAAATTATAGTGGTCGTTTGGAGTCCTGCAGCAGTACTTGATCCAACTGGCTGTTGTGTTCAGGGGAAACCACACATTTCTGAATTAGTCATATTATGATGATCATCTTTGTAAGTCTTACATTGGCCTTCAGTCAGATTGTATTTTGGTTTAACATAACAAAGTACTTTTAAATGCAGTGAACTAAATTTCTACAATTCATAATTTATTCAACGTGGTATTACAACCAATTCCCCATACAGTTTGTTTTCATAGACACCAGCTTTTTAAAATATGCACCACCATTTCCTGCTGTTTTCATGACTGAAATTACGAGCACTGAGGCGATTTGTTATTTTATGGTTTTAGCAGCTTTCTCTACTAAAATTCAGTGATGACCTTGGTTTTGAAAGTCTGGTGTTGCACTTAGAGTATAAATAATCTTGTCAGACTGTTGGTGAATGCCCAGATTTCTATCACATCTTGAGGGGAATTTAGGAAACTCTTCTTATTTATTTTCTTTTAGCAAATATAGTAGCAACAAATGAAGCTACAAAACAGAAGAAGATTACCTAAAATGTTAACATCATATTGTGAAACACAACATGACAAAACGTCATTTAAAATGGGAAGAACTTATTAGGTTTTGCTTGTTTTTATAGTTTTCAAGTTCAAGTTGGTAATACAGACACCTTTAAACTCAGATTATAGCTCTGGATGAAAGTGTGACATTATAAAGATTCAATGACAACTGTCCTTCATAATACTGTTCAGTTTACTGTTCAGATATTGTCATATAAGTCATATGAAACTAAGAATATGTGTGTTTCTCTGCTGTAGGTGGTCTTGAGTGGAACTGATAACAGATACAGCTTAAACGGTCTGAGTCCATCTACAGAGTACGAAGTTATGCTGACGGCCGTATTCAAGGACGAATCCGAGAGTGACACTGTCTCTGTTATTGATACCACATGTAAGTGACAATAGCCTGTTTGACTGGCATGTATAGCTATTTTGTTACTTGGTTACTAGGCAGTCTGGGTATTTCAAATCTAATCAACAAAAAACTTGCCAAAAGTCAGAATCTAAAAACTTCCAGAGATGAGAGAAAGAGACGAGTGTAATTTCATAAATTAAGATCCCCTTGGTTGCACTGATGTGGAAATTAGCCTGTGACCTAACTAACCCTCTTCACCAAAGTGCCATTGTCTGCTGAGAATAGTCCAATCACACATACCTTTTAAGATCGTAAAATTACCATTTCTGAGTTCAAAGCAGAGCTCTGCATGAGTCTATTTGCATTGATTTGTTTGTCACAGCTTATCTCAGAAGACAAAAATCTATTTTCCCATCAATGATTTGTTATGTATTTCTATCTAATTGCCTTAGTTATTGATACAGAGAGTTGTTGATGAGATTTTCTATCCAATTATCTGATTTATTCTCTCTGTATTTCTCCAGTGGCTGTGGCAACAACGATTGCTACCACAACCACAGGTAAGAAGTGTCCAAATTGCTTTTGTGTAAAATTCCAAAATGTTTGTTGTGAAAGTGTTCAAATCATTACACTCTCAATATTGCACATGATTACAGTTTGATAGCTGATTTTTGGGCTGTAAGGCAAATAAATGTGAAGCAACCTGTCTTGACATCGTCATTGTATGATAAAGCCAAAAACCTGAACCTTCATACCTTTCATAACCTGAAACAATGCGATACGGTTGGACATGTCATGTTGGATTAAAATTGTACCATTAAATGCATTTGTATTTATTATTTTAGTCATACTAAAATACAAACCTTAAGAGAGTTTCTTTAAACAATTTAGCTTGCATGTGTCCAGTGGCCCGCAGGCTAAGTTCAAGCGGTACTTGCTTTACAAAACTATCCTGGCAGACAAACTGGCCAAATTTTAATCATGATTCAGGCCAAAGCATCTGTCTAGAAAGTCTACTGCCATTGAAATGTGAAAAGGTCTACCATTCGCCAGTGCATGCTGATGCTGCCAGAGTGCAACCACAGTTCTAGCAAGTTCCCGAAGCAGAGTTTTTGGTCTTTGTTGCTCATTCAGTTTCAGGAAGCAAACCAGAATTACTGAGGACTTAGAAAAGCTCCACACTGTCTGTTCTGACTAAGGTTGATGAATGCAAAACTGTAACCCAGATAACATTCTCTAGCAGGATGCGCCTTATTAAAACCGTTTGGAAGATCTTTTGCGATTTTATACGTGTGTTTACCAAGTTGGCTTCACCCAGAAGACTGTAGTTCAAACTTCATTATCTCAGAGGCGACCCGGAGGCCATCTGGATTGTGTTTTGTATGAGGGGCAGGCTACAGCTAAGTCGACAGTCAGAGCAGTTTCACCACTCACAGCTCTAAAATCTTAAAAAGCAACATGTCTCAGTTACTTAACTCCCTGTCCTCGCTATCCTAGAAACTTTAAAACAGCACACCTGCTTTGTTTAAAACTTTTAAGTGCTCCTGTGAATCACAACTTGTGGTTTCACAAAAGTGGCCGACACAAAGAGAGCAACAGAGTCTCCTCTGCTTGGTTCGTAGTTTAAGGCTGCATTATGCATGGAGCCCTCACGCTGATTTCTATCCACTCAGGACTGCATAGACTTTAAAACATGCCTACTCGGTTTAAAACCACCATCAAGATTGATTAAACAAAAAATAAACAAAAACATTTCAAACGCTGTTTTTAAACTAAGTAGTGTTGCTGAGAAAAAAACAATCTGGGCCAGATTTTACTGCAACTTCATCCAGCACCTCACAGCTGTCTGAGCATGTTGGCACTTTGACAGTAGCCTTTATGATTTTCTTTTAGCATACTGGCATTTTGACTGACACTTTCCTAATCCACAATTTACCAATCCACATTAAAAGTGTGACGAAATCGCAGCTCAAGCCAAGATTTTGCATTTGTGTTTGATACATAAATCCTACAGTAACTGTTGTCTGTGATGTGGTGTGACAGTGGCACGTCAAGCTGTGAGAAACCTTCAGCTGAGTGACGAGACCACCCAGAGCTTAGAGGCATCATGGGAGCTGGAAGACCCCCACGTGGAGAGCTACAGGGTCACCTACGCCGGCCTTGCGGGCGACCACAAAGAGGAGTCTGTGAGTTGATCAAGTTGTGAGCTGTTACTGTAAAAGCCAAATCATTTACACATAATTAAGTACAGATTTCTTTCTTTTAAGAGCTTTTTTTACATCCCTATTACATAGTGTCTAAAGTCACTCTCCAATGGTCCTCTGCCACATTCAAACACAGCTCTCAAACACTAGCATGTAAACACACACAAACGTCTCCCCTGGTGAGTTGTGAACGCTGATTATATGGAATAGACAAAACTGGAGTTGTGTTTGGAGGAGGATCCTTGTTATTTCACACCTCCAGCCAACTGGATGGCACTGCAGCGGTCAGTGTCGGGTCATCTACTCCAATCAAAAAACTGATTACACTTTTAGTCCCGGTCCACTCGGCCTCTCCTTCCTGATTCCTCTCTCTGTGTTAAGAGCCCTTGAGCTCAGTGCCGTGTACTGACCCTGATCACTGATGCACATACACACACACAGACGTGCACACACACGTACTCGGCCTCTCCCTTCTTCTCCTTCTGTCTCTCTGTTTTTCTGTTTTCCCCTCTTCTCTTCTCTTCTCTTTGCGCCACCCTCCCCTTACTTCCCCCCACTCCCTCCCTCCCCTCCCCCCCTCCCCCTCCCTCCTGTTTTAATTTCCCAATGTGGTGTCAGAGCAGTAGAAGATGGAGAGGCCAGGCCAAGCCAGAAGACATTCCATTATCTTTTCAGCAGCCATTTACCTCACTGGGAGCAGAGATGGAGGGCAGCAGAGAAAAGAGCAAAAGAAACAAAGAGAGGTGGAAAAAGAAACAATAGCTAAACAAAATGGAAGAAAGGCTTAAACCTGTCCGCCAGCTGATAGATAAGAGTTGTTTCAGGTCGTGGCTCTTTCTAAAAGTTTGATGTTTGATGTGAACATGTGTGAGAGACAGATAGAGGGCAAGACAGACAACATGGATAAGTCTGTGTGTTCTGTAAGACGGTTGTGTGTTGATGTGTTATTTATTTAAAAATGATTGAGTGTGTGCCTTTCCGCTCTGACACTGGTAGGTGTTTCAGCACCACAGTCAGAGTGGACAGCTCCTCCCTTCTCATTGGCTGGAACAGATTCACCTGGCCTTCCCTTAACGCACCTTTCTATCTCTCTCCTCTCTGAGGATCAGTGCCGTTAGGAGAAGGTAATCTCTCTGCTGTCCTTTATGTTGAAGTCTTGTTTTGGCAAGCACATGCTTAAAGAACAGACAGATGAATGTTAGAAGCCTTTCTGATGTGCACATCAACTCATGTTTTGGTTTATACACCGATTAGCATAATCACATAACATTATGACCACCTGGGC